ATGGAGTCTACACCCAGGATGGCACATACACCCAGGATGGGGCCTACACCCAGGGCAGTGCCTACACCCAGGATGGCAAATACACCCAGGATGGCGCATACACCCAGGATGGCACATACACCCAGGATGGCACGTACACCCAGGATGGCGCGTACACCCAGGATGGTACATACACCCAGGGCAGTGCCTACACCCAGGATGGCACGTACACCCAGGATGGCGCCTACAACCAGGATGGCGCCTACACCCAGGATGGGGCCTACACCCAGGGCAGTGCCTACACCCAGGATGGCACATACACCCAGGATGGCGCGTACACCCAGGATGGCGCGTACACCCAGGACGGCGCATACACCGAGGGCAGTGCCTATACCCAGGATGGAGTCTACACCCAGATGGCGTCTACACCCAGGGCAGTGCCTACACCCAGGATGGCGCCTACACCCAGGATGGCACCTACACCCAGGATGGCGCCTACACCCAGGGCAGTGCCTACACCCAGGATGGAGTCTACACCCAGATGGCGTCTACACCCAGGGCAGTGCCTACACCCAGGATGGCGTCTAGCACAGTGCCATGATCATCATTTGCACATGCTGTTCTTCTGCGTGGAAGGTTTCCCACCCTCTTCTATTGGCCAAATCATCCTTCAGTCCTCAGCTTAAATGGCCTCCCTAGGGCAGCTTTCCCAGACTAGTCTGGATGTGTCTAGTACAGTTCTTCATTTTTAAGCCCTCACCACCCCACACCGAGGGCAGAGGCTGTGTCTGTCTCTGCCTGGCTGGGGACGTGCACTGTCCTTCCTGCATCCCTAGGTAGGTAGGTAGGTAGCTGCAAACTGCACGTGCTGCCGTCAATGCCCTGCAGGGGGCACCAGGTCTCCGGGAACAGGCCTTGTTTGGGTGTCCCTGGGAACCGGTGGCATCACCAAGGCCAGAGGTATTTGGCTGCTCCCCGATAGCCTGAGGGCATGAGGGGCAGAGAGCAGGAATGGTTGGTCAAGCAGGTGGGGGGGTGTGGCAGGAAAGCCTGGGGAGGGGACTCCTGGTCCCCGTCCCCATCCCTGCTTCACCCAGAGAACCCCTCTTTTCTCTCTTGTAGACATTGACAGCTAAATTCACGAAAAGTGAAAATGAGCACTAAGCCGGCATTTGATGGATATGGAGACGAGGGCTGAAGGAGGTGAGTTGTTTTTCCCAAAGACGGAGGGAGACCAGAGCACAGATCAGTCCTTTAACCACCCCCTTCTCCGCCCAATCTCCCTCACCCCTGTAACCATCACCAATAACTTCCCAGCTGCAGCAGCTGTATAATCCCACGCCATTAGCTCTTAGTTCACTTGCTGCAGAATTAACTAAATTGGACCCATGTTGGGGTCCGCCATTTTTAATCCTAATCTAACATGACAGCTGCCCCAGCCTCTTTGGAGGGTGGTTGAGAATGCACCGTGCGTCGTTGGAGAGGGTGGCTTATTTTTCTGCCCAGCTTGTTTTTCCATCAAGCCTCATTTGTGAAATTTAATGGAAGTGGGTGATCAGAAGCAAAATGCTTTTCACCCACCTCAAACACCTCCCAGTCCCCTGACTTCCTTAATGGCAGCCCCAGACAGGAGGGTGTGCAGAGAGATCAATGTGAGATGTGCCCCTGTCTCAGAGGAAAATTCAAATGTCATTTCTCAGAATTTGGAGAGAACAGAGAGATAAGCGCCCGAGAAGTCGCATCTCCCGTGTTCTTTGCTGCGTGGCTGAAACAACAGATGGCTGTGGGTGACAAAGCCCTCATCTCACCGAGAGGCCCAGATGAAAGGATTAACTGTTTTGAAAAATATTTTATGTCACGCAAGGTGACGCTCACAGAGGGTTCTAAGCAAAGCGTGTTTTCTGGCGTTCCGAGAAAGAACTTTTGCTCAGAGAAATAAGCAGCTTACGCTCCAATTTATTCCTGTCCACCATGCACTTAAAGAGTCAACAGCCAATGTTCTTGGCCTAAAGGTTGGGCTGGAAGCGGCTTCCCTGACCCCTCCCCTTCTCTGACCTCTCCTCCAGCACGCCCCTCCTCGTTCGTTCTCTCTCTCCAGCCTCCCAGTCCCACCCGTGGGCTTTGTACTGCCTCTTTCTCCACACACACGCCGTATCTGCCTGGCTCTCACCTCCTCCGAGTCTGCTCACATAGCCCTCCCTTCCTCTCTGTCTTTGTGGAGCTTCACATCTGTGATCACCCTTGGGTGGACTGGGTATTTATGAACTCATTGGTTTGCACCTGTGGACTGCTGTTTTCCTCCCTCCCAGGGACAGGAACTTGGATTTGTTCTCACCTGTGTCCCTGTATCCTAGAACAGCACCTGGCATGTAGCAGGGACTCAGTAAATATTCTTTGGGTGGAATAAAAGCTGTGATGAAGATGAGGATGATGGTGGTCAACATGCCCTGGTGATTTCCTGGACACCCTTCTAAGTGCTTAGCACACATTCACTGGCTGTTCTGCATGTGAGCCTTGCGTGGTGGGTTCTGCAGAGCGGGGATCCTGCGTGGTGTAGGGGCAGCCCTTCCTGTTTGCGTAACGCTGTGCTCTGATCTCTCAACAGAGATCATACGTGCGTGTGCTCGGCTCAGCACTGGCAATGTAACCTCCGCCTCCCAGGCTCAATCAGTTCTCCTGCTTCAGCCTCCCAAGTAGCTGGGACTACAGGTGCCCACCACCATGCCTCCTAATTTTTTGTATTTTCAGCAGAGATGGGGTTTCGCCTTGTTGCCCAGGCTGGTCTTGAACTCCTGAGCTCAGGTGATCTGCCCACGTCAGCCTCCCAAAGTGCTAGGATTACAGGTGTGGGCCACGACGCCTGGCTCCTTTTATTATTATTTGAAATCAATGGACTCAGAAGCCTCTTGTCCCATAGTAACTTTCCAGTCTTCCTTCATGTCCCCTGCATCCTCCCTTGATTCACTCACTGATGATTTAGTGAACACCCCCCACCTCCACGGCGTTAAGTTAGATACTCAGCAGATGCACAAGAAACCTAAGGAGCTTCAGTCCAGCTGAGGCTCCGGATACGCAACGAGAAACCCACAAGCAACAGTGAAATGTGGGATTTGATAACCTCGTCATTTCTGGGTAAGACCAGCGCAAACAACGCACAGAGTTGCTAACAGGAGGAGACATGCAGAAACAGCCACCCAGCATGTGCAAGAGCACTGCCCTCGGACGATCACGTAAAGTCGCCTCCAGCCCTCCCTGGTAGGCACCACTGCTGTTCCCATTGCACAGGTGAAGAAACGGAGGCACGCAGTCACCATACAGAGACAGCAGGCTTAGAGCCTGGGCTGTCTGATTCATGCTCACAGCAAGGAGGCAGCATTTAGAAAGCTCTTACTGTGTGCCAGTGCTGTGCTAGGTCCTCACATACTGAACCTTCAGTATCACCCTCTGGGGATGCTGCTATTATAAACCCACTTTAGTGATGAGAAAACTGAGGTGCAAAAAACCTAAAAGCATTTGCCCAAGAGCAAGCAGCTGTTAAGTGTCAGAGGCAGGATTCAAACTGGGTCTGTCCCACTCCTCCAGGAGTGCTCCGAACCCAAGAGCCTGGAACTGGGAGCTGCTTCCCAATGATGCCCTCGAATTACTCCCCTGTCCAGGGGCTCCCTCCCCCTCTCAAAGTGCTCCCTCTGCCCTCCTGTGGCCCAGCCCCAGCTCAGGGTGTAGTCATAATGGGGGCCCCCAGGTACACATTTGTCCTGGCCCCCTCTGTAGCCCTAGCCAGCCCTTCCCTCCCAGCTTACGTTGCCTCTCAGATGAATACAAAATTATGGCACGTGAAATCCCGCTGAGAAAGGAGGACACTCACCCCAGATGCCAATACCTTTGTGAAAACTGCAGAGCAACCCACAATTTCCAGCTTTGATTTTCATTCCTGCTCAGGGATTGAACAGTAAGTCTGTTTCAAAGTAGCCACTTCGCACACATTCATGGTACAACTCGGGCAAGAACTCTCTGGTTCTGCATGCCTTACCTGGATAAAAATGATTCCTGGCCAGGCGTGGTGGCTCACGCCTCTAATCCCAGCACCTTGGGAGGCCAAGGTGGGTAGATCACCTGAGGTCAGGAGTTCAAGACCAGCCTGGTCAATATGGTAAACCCCATCTCTACCAGAAATACAAAACTTAGCCATGTATGATGGTGGGTGCCTGTAAACACAGCTACTTGGGAGGCAGAGGCAGGAGAATCACTTGAGCCCGGGAGGCGGAGGTTGCAGTGAGCCGAGATCACGCCATTGCACTTCAGCCCAGGTGACAAGAGTGAAACTCTATCTTAAAAAAAAAAAAAAAAAAAAAAGATTCCCTTAAGGTTTTCAACCTGGTGGCTATTTTGTTCCTATAGATGAACAAAAATAGCTTTGCAAAGCCATTCTGCCACTGATATCCCTAGGAAGCAGGTGGGGAAATGCCTGTTCTGGGCTCCGGCAGTGGGAAGCCCAGTTCAGCAAGTCCAAGTCCAGATTCAGTTAAAGCACAGCAGCTGGATGTGCAGCCAAGGAGGCCGGATGAACAGGTGACGGCACAGAGAACGCCATGCGGGCCTTAGAAAGGAAGGCGCCGATCCACTGCGTTGCATACCTTCACTTAACATCCGTAAGTGCAAAGGCAACACATAAAACAGTGCGAATAAGCCAGACACCCAATACCACACACTGGATGATTCCATTTCTACGAAATGCCTACAGTGGGCAGATCCATACTAACAGAAAGCAGATTGTTGGTTGCCAGAGGCTGGGGGCAGAGGGAAGGAGGGCTGACAGCCAGTAGGTGCGGGTTTCCCGTAGGGTCAATGAGAACATTCCAAAACCAAATAGATAGGACAGTTGCACAACTCAGTGAATATGCTGATCACCACTGAATGGTACATCTGAAAGGGTAAGTTGTCTGTCATGTGAATTTCATTTCAATAAAAGACCGTTTAATCAGTATGAATAAAAAACCACTAAGAAAACACGTGTGTGCTATGTTTAACTGCTTCATGAAACAATCTATAGACAGTCGCCCCAACATGTCAACAGAGTCTACATGTTGGAGGACAAATTCAGATCATTTTTACTTACTTGTAACTCTCTGTGTTGTCTGAATTTTTTTTTACAGTAAACATCACTATTTTAATAATCAGTACAAGAATTTATATAAACCATTTCCATTTAGGGGAAAAGAATCCAGTCTCCAGAGCTGCCCTCAGTCTACCCACATCCCTCCCTCAGAGCTCGCCACCCCCTTCCTTCCACATACAGGAGCTTTTACCCTTCTTTGGAAAGTTCCAGCAGCTTAGCGGCCAGACCAATAAAAATGCACCCCAGCACTGGTTTGCGTGGTGGAGGAAGAAAGCCAATTTTCCCCTAAGCATTACTCGCTCTTCCTCTGGAATTTGGACGTCAAACATCTAAAAATATGTCTCTCCCTGGAACAGAGGGTTTAGAGTTCAGCGTGCGTACATGAATGCCATTTCCTGGTGCCCGGAGCCCTCAGCACTGGGCCCTGGGGACGGAATTTGGTGCAAGGTTAATGGGACTTCCTCAGGGGAGACAAAAAAAGAAAGAAATTCACAAGACTGCAAACTCAGCCAACTCTTCCCATCAATGTCATTGTCAATCAGTGCACCTGAGAGTCCTCTAGAACTTTCCATCCCTTCTATTCTGTTCCGGAAGCTTTTAACATAACTTATTCTTTCATTTGATAGTACACTAGTAATTCTCAGGCTCACTGTGTTTCAGGCACTGGGCTGGATATGGGGAATTCTGAGTTGAAGCAGAAGACATTGGCCCTGCCTTTGCGTGGCTCAGTTTCAGGCAAGTCAGACACTGTGCAAAACATCACACAGAAGAGGCGAATGAATAGCTTTTTGTGGCCATCTGCAGAAGTAGTTAGTGAGAAGCCTGAATAAATCATGGCAATGGTAACAATAGAGCTCAATGCTAAGAAGGAAGAGTTGGGCCGGGCATGGTGGCTCACGCCTGTAATCACAGCACTTTGGGAGGCCAAGGCGGGCGGATCATGAGGTCAGGAGATTGAGACCATCCTGGTTAACATGCTGAAAACCTGTCTCTACTAAAAATACAAAAAATTAGCCGAGTGTAGTGGCATGCACCTGTAATCCCAGCTACTCCAAAGGCTGAGGTAGGAGAATCACTTGAACCTGGGAGGCGGGTTCAGTGAGTTGAGATCACACCACTGAATTCCAGCCTGGGTGACAGAGCGAGGCATTCAGGGAGAGGCCTCGGAGGAGGTGGGCATGACGTTACGATGTCCCAAGAGCCAGAGTTAGCACTGTGAGTGGACACTTGCTGAGTGGCTGCCCCGAGGTGCGGGTGACACAGAGGTGCCAGCGCCTGCTCCCCCAGCTCACAGGGACTCTATGTGCCATCACAGAATTCTTGAGAGGTGCCTCAGAGTCTTGCTGCTTCTTAGAAAAAACTACTGTGGTAAAGTACATATAACATGCAATTTTCCATTTCAGCTGTCTTCAGTGGGCGAGTTGGTGGCATTAATTAGATTCATGATGTGTGCAGCCACTTCCATGAACTATTTCTGTGGCTTTTTCATCACCCCCAGCAGAACCTCTGTTCTCATTAGGCAGCTGCCTCCCATTCCTCCCTCCCCCAGCCCCTGGGAACCACGAATCTCCCTCCGATCCCGTTGGATTTGCCTCTTCTGGTGGTTGCATCCAAACAGTGTCACACACCTGTGGCCTTTGTGCGCTCAGCATCATGTCTTTGAGGTTCATCTGTGTCATGGTGTGTCTGGGCTCTATTCCTTTCTATGGCTGAGTCCTAGTCCCCTGAGTGGACAGACTGTGCTGTGCTCAGTGCATGCGCATCAGCTGCCTCCACCCTGTGGCTGCGGTGAGTGCTGACACAGAGGTGTCCTGCTTTCCTGCCTCCCTCTCCCAGGTGATGACCACACAGGGGCCTGGGATGCTTTTTACTTGCTCGTTTCCACCTGGAATTTCAGGCCTGGACCCTCAGATGAGGAAGCCCAGGCCCAGCGAGGGGAAAGTGATTTGCCCAAGGTCCCCCCAGAAGTCAGCTCTTCATGGACTTTTCATTCCTCCCACTCACCCATCCATGCCAGGCTCTGGGCTAGACACTGGGGCGTGGCCAAGCCTACAGTGAGCTTGCTTCACATCAGTACGACATATCCCCTCTCCCCAGCACCCAGGGAGCCTCGGGGCTTTTCTGGGGTTCTCAACCATGAGCCCTGGAGACCCCCTCCTGGGTGCTGCTGAAGGTCTCCAGTGCCCACTGAGCACCCCAACCCCCAAGGTGGAGGCATCTTTGTAGTCTTGATGATGAAATCCTGAGGGAAGGAGCAGAGAAAGCCCCCAGACTTTGGGGAAGCAGTGACAGCTTCACCAGTCCCCAGCCAAAACAGCGCAACAAGGTCATTCTCTGCAACAGCCTGTTTCCTTATCTGTGAAATGTCTCTCAGTCAGGAGCTGACTCCCCTCATTCTCAGAGCAGACTATCCATTTCCCAGGACCACTGTGACAAAATGCCACAAGCTGGGGGCTGAAAACAACAGAAACGGATTCTTTCAGAGTTCTGGAAGCTGGAAGTCTGAGATCCAGGTGTCGGCAGGGCTGTTTCCTTTGTGGAGGCTCTGTGGAGAAAATCTTTCCACGTCTCTCCCGGCTTCCAGCGGCGGCTGGCAATT